GATTTTTCATTTCAAAAATTGATTTTAAAATGTAACCAAACACATAGTATGTTTGGGATGACTTTTTAACTTTTTAGAAAAAGATGTGCAAAAAGTAAAAAAAAAAATAGAATCTTTAACTTTTAGTATAAATTGTTGGCTTTTTGACTTTGTTAGTGACTTTTGGGTTTTTAGGCCAAAATTGAATGTTGCCAAAGGAAGGTAATATAATACATAGCATCCTCACAAGAGAATGTGTATTTTGGAATTTCAGACAGCGCATGCTTCAACATTAACTAATCATGTTTAGGACTAATTTAAGTCTTAATTTATTTTTTGTTTGCCACTGGACACACACACACACATGTTACACTGAGTTTTAAAAGTTAAGGAGAGTATTAATTTTTAATTATTGTTGCACACGGTTCATGGTGTTATTTTAGAAAAAGTTATATTATCAGGTCATGTATACATGATTTTTATTGAGTCTAGTATAGTTTACTAGTTGAAGAGCCAAATTCTTCTGTTTTTAAGTCTTATACTCTTGAATTAGGAAAACCCCGGTATTATAAGTATCCATCCATCTGGTGTTTCTATTCAACAAAGTACAATGATTAGAATTTGAGTTTGGATAATGTGTAATTTTGGTTGACATTTTTGTTTGGTTGAAGCTTTTCTACTTCTCCTTCTCATTTGGTGTGGGATGTCTCTCATTGAGGTGTTAGTAGAATTGTTCCTAGTTAATGTTTGTGGCTTCAACCATCCCTTCTACCAAAAAAAGAAGTTTGTAAAATTGCTTATCTTGTTATTGAGTGTTGATTTTCATTTTCAAGTAGAGCATATTTATCTCAAAATTTTCAAATTCAAGAATTCAGTACTTACATATTCCAACGCTGAATATCAACATTAAAAATTTAGGATATGTAATTTTTAGTTTTGTCAAACATTCCCCAAGTCTATATTTTGTGTTCCCATCCTACTATGAATATCATTGATTTACAAGAAATTCCAATTGTCAATTTTGTAATCCTGTTATGTAATACTTCAAAAGAGAGATCAATGTGAAAGCAATATCAAAATTTTGAAGCCTCTAATAATACAAAGTTTAAAACATGCACATCATACTAACATTACAAACATATCAACATTGAGATTTTATGTAAAACAAAATGATGTAGACCATGCTAAAAAGAAAATAAATAAATAAATAAAGGTTCAGATGAACACGTTTATAATTAATTTGATCTTAGCTTTATGTTTCTTTAAGTTAGCATGTTGTTGGACATATTTGTTTATGTTTTAGTGACCAAAGGTAGGTAGGTAAGTTTTAGATATACTGAACATGGATTATAGTATGGGTATTAATTATTCAAGTCGTATTATAAGGTCATTGGACGTGCTTTTTGTTAGGTTTAGAATAGTGTAGTAGTCAAAAGTGTCAATTTGTTTTGTATGCTTCGGCTTTACTGCTAGTAAAATAACGAAAAGTTAAGCAACCTATAGATGTCTATGTAGTGTGTCCTATTCAATGGATTTGACATTATGAGAACTTGAGTTTGTGTTTATAATATGTTGTTTAACCCTTGCAAGGATTAAACTCTTATAAAGTTGCAAAAGTACTATTATTGTAGTGCTGTCAAACAACCTATATTTCATGGGGAATTACAAAAACATGGGACTTGTGCAAAATAATTGCACTTTAAAAGGAATCTTTTTGGTGCAAGTCTTCCTTGGGTTTGGTGCAAGTGTTATTTCCAAAATTGCAAAAATAATGTTTACACCAATGCTTGCACTGAAAAGATTCCCATAAAATTGCAATTACTCTCATTCTTCCACTGATTTGCAATTTGCCCATATTTTCAATCTCAACAACTTTTACATTCAAGCCCAATCATCCGTAGCCCTTCCCCCTATGTTTTGGCCCTTTGATTTCACAAATATACCATACACGGATACTGGCAAAAATTTCTAGCAAGTATTTGTCTGAAAATACCACAACCAAATGCATTTTAATTTTTTTAAATCAAGCTAATTCTAATTCATGTCAATATAAAGTTGTAGGAGCTTTCTTTTACCCTACAGAGCCCTAAGCCTATAAGCTTTTTGATGAAGAGCATCAGAAGAAGAAAAATGGTGATCTAAAATTCCACACCAAGTATGCTTAGGATATCATGGAGTGAAGTTTTAAAATAATTTTAAGTCTTGTGTTTATTTAGTTTAGTATGTTGTTGGACAGATTTTATGTCATGATATTAAGTTTTAGTAGTTAGGGATATTTTGGAAATTTTGTCACTAGACATGAGTTGTAGGAGTCAACCATAGGTCTTTTATGGCTCTTTATGAGGTCTAGGATATTCTAGTTGGTCAAAGTTTCTTGACTTCTAATTATGGAATGATAGTCCTTATAGGAATAGGAAGTCTAGCAGTCCATAAATTTGCATATAATGTTTTTTTCAATAGAGAGTTGAGATATGAAAATTTGAGATTCTATTTGTGTTTGTATGAATTTGCGTTACCCTTGCAAGGGTGAAATACCTCTTTCCTTCTCTTCTTCTTTGCAAGCATACCCAAGTACTATTCTAAGGTTTCATAACCATAGAACAGCACCCCTTTAGTCCCTAAACCCTAGCAAATCAAGTTCAAATTGTCCCTAACCTTCTCCCCTACCAATTAGCCACTAAATCCACACTAAAACATCATAAAATAGGTGTTGCCCAATACTATAACTAATTTAAAAATCCTACGGCCAGTAACTTTTGATTTAAAGCCAAAACTATCACTTACATCTAGAAACCCTAGAAAATTTCCTCTCCCTCACAAAACCGCTAAGAAGCACAAAAACTTCTAAAGAGGTGGAGTGTCATGTTGGACACTAATACAACATGACACTTGTCAGACACTTTCCAACACGTTTCGGATATATGTCCAAGCTTGTATTATAATTTATAAAAAAAAATCTAGGTTTGAATACGCTTTAGCATGTATTATAGTTTTGTTTTTTGTTTTTTTGTTTTTTTCTCTTTCTTTCATTTCTACCACTTTCATCCTATGAAGCAAGGATACTAAAGGGAGACGTATTCGTATCGTATCCATATGAGATACTGGTACTCCTTGAATACTCGTGGATTCATATCAGATACTTATTAAAAGTATCGGATAATTCTTAATTAATTTTTCATTAATTTTAGAGTATTGGATACTTAATTTTGAAGTATCGCGTACTCCAAGTATTACTTCTTTTACAAAATTATAATTGTAGAATTTCTTACATAGCATTCTAATATAATATAATTGTAAGGATAAATACAAGAATATTTTTTCTAATACTTTGTTTAGTTCTTTAATAAGAAGAACATAGTGAATTAAAGTAATATAATTTGTCAAATTAATGTATCCTTATTATTTCATGCATGTCCCCTATATAGAAAGCATGGATTAATAAGAAAATATAACAATAGCAAAATTAGATATTAATAAGTACAACATTTTTTACTAGTGCCAAAGGGAAAAGCACAGGAACAAGTTGTGGATTATTTTATTATTCTAATATCAACATATTGAAATGAAATATTTGCAAAACCTATTGAAAATTGAAAAAGTAAACAAGTTGATGGCTTAAATTAATACCTAATTCTTAAAGGTTGGTATTTTGCATTATAAAATTAAAGTGTGGTTTCTTAACATTTTTGAGTTTATATGTAACTCACTACTAATAATTTAAAAAAAATATTTTTTGCAAACATATTAGCCATATCCATATTTTTTTTTTTTAATAGGTTTTGTTGTAACGCCGTATCGTATCCATATCCATACTTCCTAGCTTTCATCCTAAACAGACTCAACCTTAAGGAACTTTTGGAATTCGAAAAATTATTATTTGCCACCACACAAACGAGAAATATAAATTTGATATATTTCTTTGATCCCATTTAATTTGAACTAAATTTCTAATTTATTACATCTTATCAAAGAATATTATACAATATGTAATATATATATGTGCTTGAGACGTGTCCCCGTACCCCAATACCCATACCCATACCCATACCCATACCCAATACCCATACCCAACTTTTGGGTGCATATCCCAATATCCTAAAATTTAGGTTTAGGAAGATCCGACTCTTTGACATTCACCCACACCCAATATTTGTGCCCGTGTCCATGTAACATAGGACAAAACTATAAATAGAGCAACCAGTTTTTATTATAAAACTTCTTTAAGATACTTGTTTGGTACCCTAGCTTTCTAAGAATTCCAAAGCAGGTCCTCTACATTTCCTATGACGCACTTAAGGTTTAGTGCATACTAACATCAGTAGCTTGGAAGGCTAGGGGTTATATACGACATCGATTCAACATTTTTAGCATCTCTGATTTAAAACAGAATAAGAAACTTTGGTTAATTTTACAGTTCCAAATATCAAGTGGGATCATACTAAGTGTTTTCTTTTCTCACATTCACTAAAGTTCTATCTCACAATATATTACTGGAATTTGGATGCAGAAAGTACTATGGTGTGAAAAGCAACATCTATCATTTATCTAACTGAAAACCCTCATGACTATTAAGGCCAAAAAAACAAAAAACAGAAAAAAAATGTCCATGCCACTTTTAATCCATTGCTTGGTATTTCATGTATCAGCAGTCACAGACATGAGCAGAAATTTGTATTTCTAACCTACATTTCAAGAGCTAATGGAAGAGTCTCAGTTGGTCCAAAGGATTTTATGGTCTTAAATGTAATATGATTTATGGATGTTTTCACCAGTAAAACACATGCTCTAGATTCTTCATTATCGATTTGAATTGGATGTGAAGCACAATTAATGCTTATTTTTTATCCAGTTTTCTAAGGTAAATTTTCATTAATACTGCTTGAGCTTATCGAAGTTGACAATATACTTTCACCCTTGGAGTACAAGCAGGTTTCAGAAGTGATATATACTAGTAGTTGATTTCAAGCCCTAACGATATTGCAATGCCCTATTTTGTATATGCATTTGCATTGCTTAATAGTTTCTCAACTGTATTGTGGAATCTTCACACCACATACTTTCTATCTATTGCAGATGCGAAAATGACGCACCATTTCAGATGGGCAACGTTGTAGTAAATGAGAAGGCAAAAGGTTTGGGCATTGAGTTCACTCCATTAGAGGTGACCCTAAAGGATACTGTTGAAAGCCTGAAGGAGAAGAACTTTGTTGCTCTTTGAATCATAGTGTTGACTAGCAAGACAAGCAAACAAATATGAAAGGATTCTGTTCTATCCTATAGTGTTCTGGTTTTGAATTCCATATATGCTGGTCATTTGCTAGTACTTTCTTGTCCTCTTGTAATGCATAATTTAGCACTGGCAAAAACATCGTACATGTCAGCGACTTGTGTTTTGTAAATTTGTTTCTATCTTTGTACATTTTACATTGAATTCTCTTTCAAACAATGGCAATTAATAATCTTTTTACAGGCTTCCAATTCCAAAAACTGAGTTCAGACCGATCGGTGAAGCAATCGATGATCTCTGCTTCAAAACAATGGCAATCTTTTCCTCAGCTTCAATGGACTGAGTTCCAGCCGATCAGTTTTCATTTGATGACTTGACTTGTGATCTCCCAAAACTCACCAATTTTTTATTTAATTTAATTTTAAATTCAGATAAAAAGTTGATGGGATATGATATGAATCATCCTAATTATTTCGTTGAATTTTTTTTCAATCTTCTTCCAATTTTTATTTTTTATTTTTTACATCAAAATTGATGAAAAAAATTCACATCCAATGTAATATTTTTTTAAATGGGTAAATTACACTTTATCCTTTTTATTTTTAATTATTTTTCTATTTCGATCCATACAGTTTGTTTTTTTTTTTGTTTTTGTTTTTTTTTTTTTGTTTTTACTTTAATCTTTCATATTTTAATTTGCTCTTAAATTTAACTTATGTTCAAAATTAGACATAACATATGATGATAACTATCACATATAAAAAATATATTACTATTATATTGAGATTTGAATTTGCATTAAAGATACGAAGTATATATAATAAAATATTTTTATGACATGCAATTTTCAATGAACTATTTTCTGTCAAATTTTTAATAAAAATTAACTTTAAGAATAAGCTTAAAAAAAAACTTGAAACATGAAAGGGTAAAACAAAAAAAATAAAAATAAATTAAGAACCAAAATAAATATAAAAAAAAGTGAGTAATCATAAAAGAAACAAAATGTAATTTATTTTTAAAATTTTTTTATCAAATTCAATTTTAATAAAGGGAGAAAGAAAATACGAAAACATTGAATACGACCAAGTAGTTTAGTAATCAGGTTTCATTTGTGATGGAGGTTGACTTTTTGATTTTTTTAATATTGGGCTAAAAAGTTTCATTTGGTATATATTTTTTGTTTTTTTTTTGACTTTTGTGAAGAAAAAACGAAATAATTATAATTTAGATGTGACATTTTGTCTTAGGGCGAATTACAGAAACGATCCCTATAGTTTGGGGCTTGTGTCCATTTGATCTCTAACTTTTCAATTGTGGCGCATTTGATCCTAAATTTTGAATCTTGTTTTAAATAAGGACAATTAAAGTTACCATTACCCAATTTCAAAGGCAAAATCGTCAATTTGATAAAATATAAACGAATTTGACAAAAATAAATGTCAAAAAAAATATTTTTGAATTTTTAAAAATTATTTCTACCAACTAAAGATAAAAGGGAAAATTAGTCTAGGGTCCCTCCCCCACTTTTCGTAATGGAAGAGATCCACAAAATTATTTTTTAATTTCTAAGGTCCCTAAACATATATCAGAGAAATTTGACTCTTTGTCCACAATTCGTCTCTCTCTTTCTCTCTCCTACAACCAAATGACCAAAAGTTTCAAGATCTTCCCCTACCCCCAAATCCCATCCCTTCGCCAACGTCTTCCTCTCAGTCTCCGTTGATCGAGATGTCACTATAGTAAGAATAAAAGAGCTCAAGTAGCTTCCCATGGAAGTCGTCAAAAGGGACAATGCAGCAAACAAGCTACGCATTCACTGACTGCTTGTAAAAGAACTCAAGCTGCTCGATGAATGTAAATACTTTTGCAGCACCAAACAAAAAATATTGGGTTATTTGCCACGTGATACTAAGTGGTATTGGAACATTTTCATCAACCAAACCAAGGGCTTGTGCAAGTGCCAATCTCTTCATCTCCACCAAAGCAGCAGATACCATACATAGTACTGAAATAAAGAGGCCGATTCCCGTGCGTTGCAACTCTGTAAAGCCTTTCTCTCTGCCAGTAAACTTCCTCGCAATAGGGACGATGACCCTATCGTAAACAAGGAACCAGAAAATAACGCTTATAATGTCACATGCTGAAAGAGAGGCTGCAGGAATGGAGAAGGAACCAATGGTCCTGTCCATCATCATCCCTTGCTCAACAAACAATGTACCCAATTGTGCATAAACAGCACATATGATGATTCCAGTAGCCCAAATTGGAAACATGAGAATCAATATTTTTAGCTCATCCACCTGCGTTACGGTGCAAAGCCTCCATGGATTGAAGAAGTTCCCATTTTTGTTCTCAATAGCTGTAATTACCTCAGCTTTGTCAAGGCACCTACAGAAGGGATAATAGTTTTACTGAAGTTATGACAGAATTTGTTGTGAATAATCTGGGAAACAAATGGGTGAGAATTAATCAAGTATACAAACTATCATAAAGTAAAAGTATTGTAGAAGTCTAAAAAAAAGATGAAAGTACAAGAGATAATTATAAGTATTCAGATAGTTCATAATTTCATACATAACAAATCATTTTTTGCCAAGAGTTCACCACTGCATTTGTCTTTCATTTTATTGTGTTGAGGAGTCCAAGTACCAACTTTAGTTTAACAATTGCTTGTGAATTTTATGGTTGATGTACCTAAAATCACCAGAAAATACTCTGATTTGCACCATTTTGGGAATTGGATGAGACATTTTCAAAACATAGAAAATCAAAAAAATTGAACAAACCAAAGAAATTTCAAATTTCTCTGGTTTGAAATTTCTCTGGATGGAAATTTCTTTGGGTTGAAATTTCTCTGGACAGATTTTCTCTGGACCAGAATTTCTCTGGAACATAATTTCTCTGGATCAAATTGAGGGACCTTAGACATTATGAAAATATTAGATGTCCTTTATACTATAAAGTCTTAATAGTAGGGACCCTAAAAAAAAAGTCCCAAGATAAAATTATGTAAAATTGATAAATCTTTTACAAATTAATTAATTTATTTATTTTATCAAATTAATTTGTATTATGTGTTTGAATGATAATTATGTAATGGGTGATTATTAGGTTTTTAATGTGCAATCGATATATTTAATATATGAAATGTTTTTAGTTTTGTATTTTTTTAGATTTTTGGCTAAAAAAGTACAAAAAGATAAAATTGGCTGCCAATAAAACAAAATGTCACATCCAAATTATAATCATTATACTTTTTCTCTCACAAAAGTCAAAAAAGCCAAACCAAACAAGGCTAAAAAAGTCTCAACACAAAAAAATTAGTTAAAATAGAAAATGCCAAACGAAGACTCAATGGATTGGTTTAATAATAACATCAAAGTTGTCGCCATATTTGACTTTTAGAAAAATAAAAACTAATTTAACGAAAATAAAAACAATCATCCATTACATGATCATCATCTAAACATATAATAAAAATTAATTTGATAAAATAAATAAATTAATTAATGTGTAAAAGATTTATCAATTTTACATAATTTTATCTTTTGTGAGTAAAAATAATTTTTAAAAATTCAAAAATATCTTTTTGACATTTATTTTTGTCAAATTAATTTATATTTTATCAAATTGACGACTTTGCCCTTGAAATTAATCAATGGTATCTTTAATTGTCTTTTTTTGGAACAAAATTCAAAATTCATGATCAAATGTATCACAATTAAAAAGTCAAGAACTAAAGTTATATGAGTTCCAAACTATAAGGACTATTAGTGTAATTTGCCATTTGCCTTATTAGATTAAAAAATTTATATTAATCAAAACAACCCAAAAACCTCATAGGCCAAACGAAGACTCAGTTGTTTGGATTTATCATTCATGTACGTTGCCCAAGAAAATGCTTTGATATATTATTGCCAAGACTTTTGATTTTTTTATACATTTAGAAAATATAATTTCCAAACGTTGGGTGCCCTAATACAGTCTAACTCTTATTAGGTGGTGATTTTAAATTTTTGTCAAATTATTTTCAAAACCACTAGGTTGAGTCACAACCCATCAGTTGGTTGATAGTAATTGATTATTTGCACAGAACTAAGGCCCTGTTTGGTAGAGTTGTGGAAAAGTACTTATAGTTTATACTTAAACAGCTTATAGCTTATAAGTATGAACATAAGCTGATTTCTAACTTATAAATTAAGCATCTCCTGCCCCACTCAAAGAATAAGCTGATTTCTGACTTTCAAAAAGCTATAAGATATAAGCTATAAACTAAACCAAACACATCAAAATAGCTTAAATTAAGCTGAAAGCTAAAATAAACAGCTTTTAAGCTATAGCGATCCCGGGTTTACCCTTGTTATACAGTGATCCGGACTTGTGTCTGTAGATGTTGGTAGTTGACTATTATCTTGGTTGCATCCTTTTTACTCTGTATTTGAGTTATAGGATGTGTTGGGCAGGTTTGTTTCAGGTTGGTTGAGTTTAGAAACCAAAACTAGTTGCCCAGATTTTGGCCTGTCCGCTCGAGCGGGGGTTTTGGCGCTCGAGCGGGGAATACACCCATCCAGTATTTCCTGTACAGAGTTGGACGCTCGAGCGTGGGATCGGTCGCTCGAGCGGGAGTGTTGTGTGTGACGCTCGAGCGAAGGAGTTGGCGCTCGAGCGGAGACCTAGTTCTACAAAAGTTCTGGTAGTGAGTATCCGGCGCTCGAGCTGGAGTTTGGTCGCTCGAGCAGGAGTCTGTGAGTGACGCTCGAGCAGAGAGACTTTTATATAAATCCGAGATCCGACTTTTGGATCACTTTTTCAAGATCTTTTCTCTCTCTTACTTTTCCAAAAAGCCATTTTCAGAGCTTCTCACACTAAACCGGCTCTTCTCTCTTAGATTTGATCTAGTAAGGATCGTTTGCTCACCTTTTGTCTTCACGAAAGTTGTGTTGATCGTCGAGGGCTTTCTTTTGATCTGAAAATTTCGAGGTTTGGAGCGTTTTGGTTTTGGTCTTCATCTCCTTTGGGGCTCCGGGTTTGAGGTAGGGATATCCTACTCCTCTCTATGGATTTTGTCTTTAAATTTTGGTATTTTGAGATGTTGGGGTTGGTTTGGTAATTTTGTGAAATGTACCTCTAAACCGGATAGGTATTGGGAGGAGATAGGGGATGAACTCCGTAGATAGAGCTCATATGCTTATCTTTGTGAAGTGTGGATATAGCTTATATGCTTATCTGTGGATATCATTGTTATACATATCTGTTGTGGAATGTGGATATAGCTTATTTGCTTATCTGAGAATGTGGATATTGTTGTTATTCATATCTGTTGAGAATGGGGGTAGTGCTTATATGCCTATCCGTTGAAAAAGGGAAAATGAAAAGTGACTACGACTCATTAGTCGGTTGACATAAATATGTGATTTATGTGATTGTATCAGTGTTGGCCATCTATCAATTGCTAATATTTTAGTCATTGTTCATGGTTGGTTTAGTGTATCTCTACTGGGCTGTGGCTCACCCTATATGGGAATATCATTTTCAGGTGCAGGAAGCATGCCACCTCCAAGGACATAGCTGGGAGGCTAGAGGCGGACATATTTTGTCGCTTAACTTTTGATGTATTACATGTAACTTCAAGCCAAGGGCTTAATGTGTAAACGAGTTAGTACCCTTTTGTTGTAACCAAGTGTTAACTTGGAAAGCTGTAAGCCCGTAGGGCATTTTGTTTTGATGTTAACATGTAATACATATGTATATGGAACTCTAATGAATAAAAGAATGTGGTTGGTTTGTATGTAAGTGCATGTCTTATCTGATGGGTTAATGTTGTTATTTTGAGGGCGTTACATAAGCTGCACCAAACAGGGCCTAAGATTATTTCCAATTTGCGATGCATGTGTCACACTCCTAAAATCAAGAAAAATTCTGACATAACAATTGGCCACTACAAAAAAGATTAGTAGCTCGAAATCTGTGGCTCGAATATGGCCTGACTTTTATACCTGTAAATCATAAAGTATTATAATGCAGCGGATGAAAAGTTTTCATACCTTTTTAGCAGAGTCTGAATTGAAGGATCTCGTGGGTAAATCACGTGCTTCCTGAATCTGATCAATCAACCCAGCAATGGAGTGATATTACAGAATGAATATCACACACACAAGTCACAGTGCAAAATGGCTTGATCGTTGTATTTTGGGAGAGAGTCAGTATATGGGAAAAATAGAACATACGTTGTTTTTCTCTTAATCACCCATATCCCATATTATATCAGATATATTAGATATCTTGAGTGGTTATCCAAATAGGTTTTAAATTCAAATTCAAACTTATTTGGATAAGGTTCAAATGGTTCAAAGGGTCATGCCACATGGGCGCCCAATTTCTAACATCTCCCACTCGCACATGAGCATGACACTGCCACATCTCTATCTCAATCTCCCCAAAAATGAACAATCTCATACTAGCCAATGCACCGTGCGACTGCTGAGAACACCTGCATGTGGGAGCTCTATACTAGAAACTCAAAATGAGCCAGCATAGAGACATCAACCCAAAAAGAACAGAAATAATGTCTCATATACCCCGGACCCATCTAATTACACCGATTCAAAAAACATCTCTAATCCCTCAAAAAGAGCATGTTTGACCCTCTCAATTCTTGCAATATATTCACACTCAATCCGCCTCTCGTACAGAGCGATGTGAGTTACCGGCAATGAATATACAACAGTGGTGTAATATTAGATGATCTTCCCTTTGCCCTCATGCCATTTAGTTTAGGATTGACCGCTTTCCCAGTGATGTCCCTTAAGGCCGAATCATACATGACTGCAGGCAACATACCAAAGTAGCAGAACATCAACCCCTTACCTTATAACATAGTCAAAAGTCACAAAAGGGTACATGAATGAAAGTCATATCAATAATGACACGTAAGACTCACACGGTGAGAAAACAGGGATCCATTCTGTCACCTCATTACTCGGTCGCCAAGCACATGTAGTATGAATACATGTTACGGTGGAGTAACTCTTCCAAAAGTGACGTCATACTTGATACACCGTACAGACATTAGTCTAGTCGCTTTCTAGCGCCTAACCCGAATTCTCTATTTGCTCGCCTTCCAGGCGCCAAATGAGATCTCGCATCTTGCTAATCATAACAGGCACCACATGGAAAGTGGGTACTAACATCCATGTTTGGTCCTTAACATGACCTCATCTTGGTTGTAACCAAGGCGACATGCATAGTGGATAATTTAAGCCTCTCTTGGCTCCAAATAAAAAATAAACCACTAGTCTCATCCTTGCTCGTTCCCAAGTGCCAAGGGCGATTGCTCGTGTGAGTGAGCCAATCTTGCCTGCTGACATCATCATCTGCTAATCATCATGACACAAACCATAATAGTGTCAACATCCCATCATCTTACAACAAATAAGTGATCGATCTAAAAAACATGACCACAGTTTGCGCAATTCTAGATTCCAAACATAAGCCTTATCAGCACCTCTTGCGATAAGCATATACAACGGAATCCACCATATGCGCAGCATGACCACAGCTTGCGCAATTCTAGATTCCAAACATAAGCCTTATCAGCACCTCTTGCGATAAGCATATACAACGGAATCCACCATATGTGCAACATGTGAAGTGATTCAAGATCACTACCTCTTGCGCAATAACCTCTCCAAAGATATTTTGGTGACCAATTTGCGTTCATTCAAGATGCACCCAACTAGCGCATTGAATC